GGGGGGGAAGGGGAAGAAAAAGTGGGGATCCGGGAGAGAGGCAGAAGAAGGAGAAGAAGTGAATTGAATAGAATCGAATCGAATTGAATTGAATACAGGGAGGCCAATCGGTGCGTGTCCATGAACAAACAAATGTCATCATCACATCTGCACGGACATAGCAAGAGCTCTAAAACGCGCAGTCTATGAAGAAGAAGAATAGTTGAAGTAGCGAGGCCAATAGCCACACACGTCCACGCTTATGAAAACATCATCGGAAGACCTGCATGGACATGACACTCAAAAACGCGCACATTCCCCGACGCATTTCGCCTGCTTGTGCTGCAGGACTTGTCAAGGGGCAAACCACACGCCCGCATCCACCTGTCAGACCGCCGTGAGCACAGAGGGCCGTTCTGGACTTGCCCTCTTACATATACTCTCACACTCGCTACGCGTGAGTAACAAACCGGCGTAGGCACTCCCTACACTATTCGTAACAGAACGGGATCGCCACACAAGCACTCTCCCAAGGACCTCACGCATACGCCTTCGCTGCACTGAATACTCGCTCATCGCGTGCATTGGTTCTTTAGGGAGATTTCTGCCCAGTCGGGTGTGAAGTAAGCCCAACAGGGCCATTTTTCCGTCCAGGTACATCTCCGCCCCGTGTTCAGTCCCTGCAGGGTCTGAGCCCCTACCCGGTTTTTTTCTCTCTCTCTCTCCCCTATACCACCACTCGTCTCTGCCTGTCGGCCCGTTGCGTAACTACCTACGATATACTAGCTGCTGTGCTTTGCGGACTATGCTATGTTATCATACACGCATGGTAACCCGTTCTACTTGTGTGCTATTCTATAACTGGCTTCTCTATGCCCGTTACCCTGCTCTTGATATTCAACCTGATACTCTCTATGCGGTCGTCCCATCGTCTTACCCTGCTATCTGCCACTACTGCCTCCTCTTTTTTCTCAGTGCCTAGTGTACAGCCTGGTAGCTCTAATACCGGGTTACCCTTTGCTTAACAGCTCCCCCTACACTTAGTCTATTCCCGGGGGAGAGAGGGGGGGTAACTTTCCAAATACCCCCATAAGTTGAGATATATGTCAAAATGTCCCTGGAAGATATGGGCACAGTGGAATGGCCTGGGTGTGTAAATTCTCTTGGCCTTTTGCAATTGCACCTATGAAAAGTTGGCAACTGCCGGGCCATTTTGCAAAGTTGGGCAGCGTCCGGTAGGGGTACATTGCAAAGATGGGGTCCAACTGATGGCTGGGGTGTTTCCCAAAATGTTTTTGTCATCGTCCTTCTGCGGCGGGTCCACTTGTCACTCTTAAAAAGAAGAGCTTGGGACCGGGGTATGTTGACCTCAAATTTTCAATGATTCGACAATTGGTCACTTTCGAACTGGAAAACACTTTCGTGATGAGTAAAGGGAAGATTCTCAGACAACTGATTGGTATCCCCATGGGGAAGAACTCCAGTCCACCGCTTGCCTGCACGCTGTGTCCCAGGTATAAGGCGGAGTTCCTCAGCTCACTGGGCAAAGATCAGAAACTGGTGCATGGGGTAAGACTGATAGACGATGTGACATAGGTGGTGAAATGTGACTTATCAGTCCCAAACAGTGCGAGGATGGCGAAACGGATTCAGGATATGTTTGGGAGTGCTTATGGGGAGAAGCTTCTCCTGGTCCGGACAGATGATGGTTCGAATTCCTGGGACTTTCTGGGCATGCGGATCACAGCGCTACCGTGCCCTATACGTTTCCTGATCCGTCCAAGGAGTAGGAATCACGAGGGAATCAGAAGAGTTGTGCTTGACTTCCGCTGTTTCCAGGCCTATGGCTCGTATGCGGACAAGAAAGCGAAAGTTGGTGCGATCACGGCGGCTTTCCACAGAATCCAGCAACACGCCAGTGAACCACTCATGGTCATCTCACCAGTGTTGGATATGAGTTACGAGCTCAGGCGCTGGGACAACCCCCCAGCGCTCTTCTTCCATGCCCTGGCGAGGTTTGCCAGGGCCAGCAGCACTTTCAGCGAGGCATGGCAGATGCTCGCTGAAGGGCTGGTTCAGTTTTCTAAGCCAGGGTCAGATATGGGAGAGCGGAGTGACATCACATCGTGAAGAACGGGATAAGATCGAGATAGGTGGGACCACGGAGGTAGAAAGATCCAGGAATGCGAGGTGAGAGAGGTCTACAGAGGTGAAGGGCGGGCTCCCGGTTTGCCAAAAAAGGAGACATTCTCTCTCTCTCTCTCTCGCTCTCTCTCTCTCTCTCTCTCTCTCTCTCTCTCTCTCTCTCTCTCTCTCTCTCTCTCTCTCTCTCTCTCTCTCTC